GTGAGACAGGTGAGACAGGTGAGACAGGTGAGACGGGTGAGATGGGTGAGACAGGTGAGGGTAAACCAACAGCAGGGAAATCTAGCTGACAGAAAATAATGACCAGCCCTCGACTCAGGACGGAAGAATTAGGACTGGATCAGGAGTTTAAAGATAACTGGATCAGGATCTATGAAGACCCTCCAGTCTTTAACCTGTTTGTACTGACCCTGACCCTCCTGCAGGTGGTGCACTGGCTGAAGGGTTCCATGAGAGGCTGAGAGAGTTCCACAGGTTTGAGAGGACCTTTGAGGTAGGAAACCACAAAAAACAAAAATGGTTTTAAAGTTTCTGCAGCAGAACTTTGCTGAGACTTCTGAAGGTCCAGTCAGGATAAGGACTTGTCCTTGTGGAGGTGTCTGGTCTCAGTGCGTTATTGACTGGTTCCGACCCTGTTCAGCTGGACCTCTGTTCTGCAGGAATTCATCTCTCAGTCAGCAATCCGGACAAAGTTCGAGCAGCACACGGTCAGAGCGCTGCAGATAACCGAGGACATCAAGGCCATCATGGACGCCATCAACATCGCCTCTGCAGACAGGAAGTAAGTAGAAGAAACTGATTGTGTCCTCTGAGCCTGAGCCAACCTGACCTCTGATCTCTGACAGGATCTGCTGCCTGGAGGAACGGGAGGAGCAGCGGGACCGATTGGACTTTGTCCGAGGACAGATGAACCGTCTGAGCGACAGCATCAAGGACAGGATCAAATCTCTGACCGATGATGTCACTGCTAAGGTACACAACTTCTCCAACAGGTACAGGAGTCAAATGATCCCAAATTACAGGTACAGCACCCACATGGTCTAGAAYCTCAGGTAAAGGACCCACCCAGTTCCAAACTGTTCCTCCTTGACTTGTTTAGCTAGAGGCRGTGTTGAAACAGGAGGGTTCAGTGTTTCCATGGTAAAAACAGCCAGTCTTCTCTGTGGTCAGGTCAACTCGGCGCTGTCAGATCAAATTCGCTTACTTCCAGTTCTGGTGGAGGAGTTCAGAGCCGACTTTAGTCCAACTACAGACACTCTGGAGCTCTACAAAATGGTAAGACCCAGATTATCACAATAACAATGACAGTTCAGGTGTTCAGGGTCATAATCAATACATGACCAATGACTGATCAATACCTGGTCAATAACTGATCAATACCATCACCAATGACTGACCTGATCAATTCCTGATCAATGACTGCTTAATACCTGGTCAATAATTAATCAATACTTAATTAATGATGGATCTGTACCTGATCAATACATAATCAATTCTTCATCAATGACAGATCAATACCTGGTCAATAAATGATCAATACCTAATCAATGACAATCAGTTATTACTGACAGTTCCTCGAACTCTACTTAAGAAGAAAGGAGATCGAGCTTTTTCTGTTGCTGCTCCTGTTTTATGGAATAATTTACCTTTCCAGATTAGATCTGCCCACAGCCTGGATCATTTTAAATCGCTTCTTAAAACTCATTTTTATTCTTTGGCATTTAATTGATGTATTGTTTTTTAGCTCTGTTTGTCATTTGTGTTGTTCTTGTACAGCACTTTGGTACATCTTTATGCATGTTGTAAAGTGCTATATAAATAAATTTGACATTGACATTGACATTGACAATGACAGATCAATACCTGATTAGTACCTAACCAATACCCAATGAATACATGATCAATGAKTGATCAATACCTTATCAATACTTAATCAAAACCTGAACAATGACTGATCAATACCTAATAAATACATGATAAATACATGTACAATGACTGATCAAACATAATCAAGACATGATCAATATCTAATCAATGACTTATCAATACCTTATTAATACCTGAAAAAAACCTAATCAATACATGACCAATGGCTGATGAATACCTGGGCAATAATTGATCAATACCTAATCAATGACTAATCAATACTTGGTCAATACCTGAACAATGACTGATCAATACCTAATGAATACATGATCAAAACCTGAACAATGACTGATCAAAACATGTTCAATACATGACCAATGACTTATCAATACCTGGTCAATAACTGATCAGTACCTAATCAATCACTGATCAATACCTAATCAATTCCTGGTCAATGACTGATCAATACCTTGTCAATAAATGATCAATACATAATCAATGACTGATCAATACCTAGTCAATTTCTGATCAATGACTGATCAATACCTGGTGAATAACTGATCAATACCTAATCAATGATTGATCAATACCTGGTCAATAACTGATCAATGACTGATCAATACCTCATCAATAACTGATCAATACGTAATCAATTCCTAATCAATGACTGACCAATACCTGATCAATACCTAATCAATGTCTGATCAATGACTGATCAATACCTGGTGAATAACTGATCAATACATAATCAATGACTGATCAATAACTAATCAATTCTTGATCAATGACTGATCAATAACTCATCAATACCTGAACAATGGCTGATCAAAACACAATCAATGAATCATCAATACCTGGTCAATTACTGATTAATACTAATCAATACCTGATCAATGACTGATCAATACCTAATAAATACATAATCGATAAATGATCAATATCTGGTCAATAACTGATTAATACCTAATCAATACCTGATCAATGACTGATAATACCCAATCAATACATGATCAATACCTGATCAATACCTGAACAATAATCAATACCTGATCAGTGTCTAGAAAACTGATCAATAACTAATCAAAGACTGATCAATACTGAATCCATACATGATCAATACCTGATCAATAACTGATCAATACCTAATCAATGAATGATCAATACTTATATCAAAACATGATCAATGACTGGTCAATACCTGGTCAGTAACTAATTAATACCTGATCAATACCTATTCAATACCTAATCAATGACTGATCAGTGACTGACTAGATAATGGTGAGTTTTTCCTACAGAACATAGAAGCAATCAGAATCCTGGCCCCACACGGGGTGCCACTTTTTTAACATTTCCTGGTTGAATTTATTTTCTGTTTCTTCTTAACCTCTCAGAGTTTGGAGACTTTTGTTTTCTTGCAGCTGGTCTGGGATCAAACAAAGATATAAACTTTAAGCTTCTTGAGTTTCTGAACATTTTATATAATATTGTCCTGGTGGAACTGTCTCTCCTCTCCTGTAGAAGCATCAGTCTCACATCATTCAGTGTTTTTGCAGAAGCTGGTGCAGCATGTGGATGACCGGTTGGTGGGCTGTTTGTCTCACTGCTGCTCCATCAGMATCCTCAGAGACGTCAGCGAGGTTCAGAGACACATGATTGGTACAACCGCTTCTGTTTAGGTTCTCTTTCTCCATAAATTCCACTCAGATCAGTACTGATCAGGTTTGTTTGTCCTGCAGACAGCGTCCGTCCTCTATTGTCTCTTTCCGTCCAGCAGCAGCTCTCTGCTCCATCCTCCTCCTTTCAGATGACCTATGACCTGGGCCTCCATGCTGTCTGTGCAGACTTCAAGGAGAACATCAACTTCCAGTTCTCTCTGGGCTGGACCGCCCTAGTGACCCGCTTCATTGGAGCTGCTAACGCCCGGCAGGCGCTGAGCGGCGAGCACAGCCTGAAGGTTAGGTCAAATTCTACTAGAACTTACAGTACTGTCCAGCTCCAATGAACAGACGCTGCTCTGTCTGCAGGATGGGTCCACCTTCAAAGACAAGATGGTCATTTCCATAGCAACACGTCTGGTCTCCATCTCCTCCAGAGCATCCATGGCTGTGCTGGTGATCGGTGGAGTGGTAGGTCTAAAAACAGGGCAGGAGGTGACCTGAAGAGCCCGCTGTTAACCAGTGCAATTAGTTATTGGCAGTTAGTTATTAGCAGTTAGTTAAAGTAGACTTGGACTGTTAGTTAAACTAGTTAGTGACACTTAAACTAGTTATTAACTATTAGTTAAAGTAGACATTGACTGTTAGTTAAACTAGTTATTAACTGTTTGTTAAACTAGTTATTTACTGTTAGTTAAACTAGTTATTAACTGTTAGTTAAATAGACATTGACTGTTGGGTAAACCATTTAACTAGTTATTAGCAGTAAGTTTAACTAATTATTGACAGTTAGTAAAACTAGTTATTAACTTTTACTTAAATTGGTTAGTGACAGTTAAACTAGTTAGTGACAGTTAAACTATTTATTAACTTTCAGTTAATGTAGACATAGACTGTTAATTAAACTAGTTATTAACTGTTAGTTAAACTAGTTATTGATTGTTAGTTAAATAGATAATGACGGTTGGGTAAACTGGTTAGACTAGTTATTGACTATTAGTTAAGATTGTTAATAAAACTACACTAGTCTGAAGATTTGAACCGTACCTGCTCATGTGAATCATCCAGGTGTGGCGTTCAGTGGGGATACGTGTCATTGCGCTCTCTGTCTCGCTCTACGGTCTCCTCTACCTGTACGAGAGGCTCACCTGGACTGACGCCAGCAGGGAGCGAGCTCTGAAGCAGCAGTTTGTGGAACACGCCACCCACCGCCTGAGAGCCATCATCCCCATCACAGGCTCCAAATGTAGCCAGCAGGTCTTCAAGTAGGCTCCGCCCCCTCCTGACAATACAATGTTGCGTTTCTGTTTCTGTTTGTATTTGTTTGCTTGTTTTTCAGGGAGCTGTTGTCGACCTTCAGCCGGCTGGCTCAGAGAGTGGACCTGAGCGAAGCGGAACTGGAGGGGACCATCCGCCAGCTGAGCTTCAGGATCCAGAAACTGGAGAACATCCAGAGGAAGTCCAAGAACTTCAGGTGAGGYTTATTCAAGTTCTCCTGCTGATTCAACAGGTTTCTTCCCAATGTGTTGGACCAGTAGAACCGGTTCATATCCAGACCTGTCTGAAAGCCTGGACCAGAACCAACTGCTGACTCAGACCAGAATCTGATTTTTGCGTTTCAGGAACAGAGCCATGGAGCTGGAGGCTCAGCTGGAGGCCTTTTCTGCTCAGTACCTGCAGGAAAACTGAAGAAGAAAAATGTTGCATTCAAGGGCCTCCGGGTCAGACAAAGCTTTCACTGGTTTCCAGTTGTATCACTGAGTTGTCACGACAACAGAAGATGGTGGGAGTCTGTGATGTCATCAGGTTTTTAACTTCCTGAATCAGCTACTGGAGCGAGATGATCAGCAACCAGCTGATGATCAAAGATCAATTGATCCTATTTAAAGTGGACATATGATGCTTTTCACGTTAACATCATTCAGTTTGAGTTSGATGCTTTGGTCAGAATTCCCCCTTAAGACTCAAAATATTGGGGTGTACTCTGTACAGTCCGTGAGCCACGCGGACTCCGTGCATATTGTCCATGGACGTTTGAGACTTCATACTCGAGCGTACTGATCACCTGACAATTCCTTAATTTTTCACAATTTTAGTCACAGCATCAAGGATGAGGAAGAAATGGTGTGCATTTTAGCCTTAAAACAACAAAAACAGAACTTTATATTCMTTCATTGATGTAAAGTTTTTATGTTCTAATCTTCTCTGTCAAACACTCTACAAACTGAATCCATTTAGTCCACAAATGACAGATTCTCAACTTTATCTGCTTGGTGTCTCAACCAAAACTGCTCAATGTGAACTCGCCGGACAGTTTATTGTGTGACAACACAAAAAACTGATCTCTGTGTGGACTTGTACGGTGAACGTCCGCCTCGAGCCCAACTCGAGTCTGCATCGAGTCTGCCTCGAGTCTACCTCAAGTCTGTCTCGAGTCTGCCTTGAGTCTGCCCCGAGTCTACCTTGAGTCTGCCTTGAGTCTGCCTCAAGTCTGCCCCGAGTCTACCTTGAGTCTGCCTTGAGTCTGCCTCGGGTCTAACTTGAGTCTGCCTTGAGTCTGCCCCGAGTCTACCTTGAGTCTGCCTCAAGTCTGCCCCGAGTCTACCTTGAGTCTGCCTTGAGTCTGCCTTGAGTCTACCTTGAGTCTGCCTTGAGTCTGCCTCGGGTCTAACTTGAGTCTGCCTTGAGTCTGCCCCGAGTCTACCTTGAGTCTGCCTTGAGTCTGCCCCGAGTCTACCTTGAGTCTGCCCCGAGTCTACCTTGAGTCTACCTTGAGTCTGCCCCGAGTCTACCTTGAGTCTACCTTGAGTCTACCTTGAGTCTGCCTCGAGTCTACCTTGAGTCTGCCTCGAGTCTACCTTGAGTCTACCTTGAGTCTGCCTCGGGTCTACCTTGAGTCTGCCCCGAGTCTACCTTGAGTCTACCTTGAGTCTGCCTCGGGTCTAACTTGAGTATACCTCGAGTCTGCCTCAAGTCCACACTGACCTCTGTGGAGCAAAGTACGCTAGAGTATGTGGGGTCCTTTATTCTAACTTTACCAGGGCCTCTTCCACCTTACCTTAGGTTTGTCTCAAAGCAACTTGTTTTGAWACTGTTCCTTTAAGGTGCTTAAGGCCCCGCCCCCTCCAGCTCTTTCAAAAGCAAAGTGTAGAACAAGGGTTCAGGTTTTACCAGGCTACCCTACTCCCTGTATGAAGTGTGTACTCAGTTTGTGCAGGTTACAAGCATTAAAAATATGGAGAATTGGAACAGTAAGGGTTAATTCTTCCATTTGTGTGTTAAGAAGGTGGCAGTACGGTCTGAAATGTCCACCAAATGTATTTTTGCTGTCCAAAAGTCACTGCAGGAGATATTTGGCTGTTCGACTATAAAAGTTGACTTTGCAGATATGTCTCCTTTAAAGCTCAAACTTTCAGAAACATCAGTAAATTTAGCTGTTTCTCTAATGTTTGACCCAAAACCACGAGTCACCTGACGTCACCTGGACAGGTTCAGGATACCTAGACCATGACAAATGAGCTTAGTCTGATTGGCTGTTAGTGCAGACCACCTGTCTGGACCACCTGCACTCAAACATATAAAAACCCTTTAGTTTCAAAAACCAAACTGTCCTGAGCTGGACTTTAAAAATCTGGTGGTTCTGGATCTGCCACCAGAGGTCACTTCAGCTTTAAACTTGTACATTAGTAAGTAATCAGAGGGGACACAGGTGTGTTTCAGCTGTTTATTTCCATGTGATTATCGTCAATTTACAGCAGAAGCATGAAAACAGGAAATCGACCAATCAGATCATTTTCTTTCATCTGACAGAAGAACCGAGTCAGAACCAAAAGACCTGATGACAGAAACGGTTCTGTTCTGTTTGACAGGAAATAAAAACTTAATGTTAAAAACATTTCCCTGAGTCAATTTTTAACCTCTGAGCTTTGAGTCCTTCCTGATGCAAACAAAGTTTGAGTCAGTGACAAGGAAGAGAAGAAATATMCGGGACTTTCACAATAAAACAGAACGAGAGGTTTCAGCTTACATCTGAATGAACCAATCACAGGCCTGAACGCTGAATGACGCCCCCTGCTGGCAGAAACTGGTTCTGGTGTGGAGGTGATTTCTTCTACTGTTTGTGCAGCTGGAGGTCTCACCTCAGCGCTCCAGCAGGGGGAGCCGCTTTTCAACCTTCAGTCGCCAACATTAAAGAAAAAAAAAATTCATTATCTAAAAATTAATTGTTTTATATTTTCTGGCTTTTCTTAACATGATGCATTCAGGGTCAGATAAGATGCGTTCAAGTCTGATATGATGCATTCAGGGCCTGATATGATGTGTTCAGGGTTAGATAAGATGCGTTCA